GGAAATATTGGATAAAAAACTAATGAGCCGTTAATATATATATAGTAATAGATATTCCAGAATATTCGATTTAATGGTTCTGTAGTACGACGATGCACACTGCAGATCATTTTTTGATGATCGTTATTACCCAACGTGATCATAATAAAATAAGAGTATCTATACTCTACCCTTAAGCCACTTGCTTCATCGCCTAAATTTTATAACTGGGTGCTTCGAAAATTTGGCGCTGATGCACCAATAACTGCGCAATGTTTCAATGATCTTTTAGAAACACGTGTTAGTATCGACGTTCAACTACAAATATCAAATGTTGAAGTGCCAATAGGAATGAATCAATGCACGTTCAAAGCAATATGTCATATAAAAAAAAAGCTGTTTCCAATCCATATTGAATATTATCGCGTTTTTGAAGATATAACTAGGGTGGAGATATAACTCAATATACAAACCATATATAAAAAGAAAATTTATTCTTCTAAAAAACGGGGATATAACTAAGGTATGATTGTACTTTAAAAAATAAAATTTATACGTCACATATTTTAAAATTGCCTGAAATTGGTCAAATCATTAATTCTGAACCCCCTATTGTATCTAAAAAATTAGATTTCAGTCACTTGAATTTTTTTTACTAAGCATTGATTTTATTCTTAGTTACATAAGTATTTTAACATTGTATTAATTAAAAATTCTATAGGTTAAAAATGAGGTAAATTTATACTTAAAGCAAAATATTAATCATAACATATATATAATCATGTTAATAAGCTAAATTTTTGATTTGATTTAGGTTTGACTCTAAAAGTATATTTATACGAAATTTAATGATAAAAATTTTATATACTTAGAAATACAAATTAAACTTATAGATCAAAGCCTTAAATAAAATTAGGTTATAGAAATTCTGAAATCTGACTGGTCTCTCAGATGACTAGTAAGTTGTACTAATAAAAATTAAGTTTATAAAATATTTTATTTTATGCATAGCAATATAAAATTGCGAATCGGTAAGAAAAATATATTTATATTCATAATTTTGTAATAAAGGTTTAACCTTTAGTTTGTGCCAATTAATTATTAATAATTATTAATAATTATAAATTTTTTAGGACCGGTTTATACGGACATTTAATTTAGCAACTTTAACTTATGTTATATATATATATATAACGGATTAATATAATGTACGTATGTACTGATGTTTAAAAATGGATACGTGAATAGACTTAACAGGTGCCAAATTTAAAACTTAAAAAACTTAAATCTGAATATCAAAAAATACGTATTGTTTAAATTTCCGATAAATCTATCCAATTATATATAATAACAATAGAGGTACGTACGTACATAACGCCCCTCTAAACCTAATTATAAAACAATATTTATATTCTTTAATTTTCCGCTAAACAATATAATTAGCAGAACCGGATTTTTCCGTTGTCCGTAATAAGCAAGTCGAATAGTTGAAGATCGTCGGCACAAAAAGCATCTGTACGAGTTCGAACAATTTAAAGTGCTAAATACGTTCTCTTTGCATATGCTATAATCTTTGAATAGTGGGCATTGAAATTTCCTAAAGTATTTGCCAAACAAATAAAATAAATTTTAATTTTCGTGGTACGTAAAACTTTTAATATAATGAATTAAAGCTAGAATATAGTTTTAATTATTATAAAAGGATAAATTTTAGTAATTAACCTACGTACTCCACTAATATGATCGTTAAAATAAAATGGTAATTATATTTTTATAATGTTCAGCTGTAGTCAATTATTGTTTTTTTTTACAATTATATGATTCACGTCATCTATTCTTCATCATCAAAATTCAGATTAAGAAATCTAATCTCCAATTTCGAATGCATACATGTGCGTCAGATTGTGCCACACGCGACATTGCCTAAACTATAGTTTCAGCTTATAACTTAACTCTTAACCGGATCCACCTAATGCAGGAGTGAGTCTAATTTGCATTCTTATTCATTTACCATTAACACTAATATATAAGGTAAACTTGTCAAATTACAGGTTTATCTGCAGCTCATTTATGGGCTTATGCAAAAAATGTGCGACACTTTGGCCTGAATTAACATAATTTAGGCCGATGATCTTCAAGATTTTTTTAATTTTGGCTAGAATTTATTTTTATTTATTTAATTAATATTTTTTGACTCGTGGTAAAATTGAATTTTTAGTTTACGTGTGGCTATGGCTTCATTGTAGATAGGTCAGTGCCAAGATAGATCAGGTGGTAAACGAATGTACAATGTAGCGGGTTGGGTAGTGAATGTGAAATATGTCGGGACAGAATGTAAATGTATAAAATAAAAATAGAACACAAGATAAATGCAAAATAAATAAAACTCTAAACTAAAACTGAAACTGCACGAAGCATAACAGCTAATACGTTTATTAAATACCAATGAGGGAACTTTGTCTACTCAAGACAAAAACCTCAAACAGAAAAACCTGAGACACCAAGTCTGCCTTTACAAGAGGGCGAAGACATTAGGTTTTTATACATGTCAGCTAACTAGAAAGTCTAATACTACAACACATGTCTAACCTCACTTCGCATTACTAATCTTTATTTACAGCCAACACCAATGAGACTTCTAACGCGCCAAGGTCCGAATTAATAATTGCACTCGAACCAATTATCTCAAAGGCCAAGGTGACAATAATTGGAAGACTATTACAACATAGTTCGGAAATCGGATATATAGAAAAATAACTATATAAGGAAATAACGGGATGGTGAGTATAATGAAACAAATAAGGAAGGGGCGAATACAAAAATAGAAATAGGGTGGGACAATGGATGAACAATCGGAAGTAAGATCATCCGATACTTTTAAGGAAGATGATAATAATAATAATACGGGGCGAAATAATAAAAGTTTTGGGGCGCAGGAATGTTACGATAGTAACAACGGTACGTACTGTACGTACTGTACGCTAAAATTTTGCCGATCACTTGTTCCAGCCAATCAGATGCCAGAAAAAGAACTATACGTACAGTACGTACTGTACGCTAAAATTTTTCAGGTATCATATAAATGGCACATCGCTACTCGACTATTTGTATTTTCATATACGTCTAGCCTTCATAAAACACATGCTTTGATTACTAAGCACAGGAGGCTATTAACACCTGGTTGTATCGAACCAATTTAGAGGTGGTTTGAGTGTAATATTTTCCTTAACAAAATTGTACATAATAATAAATAAAACCGATAATAAATAAACAATAGAAGCAGCCTGGTTGATATTTCTTATTATTTTTATGTATACAAAAAAAATTTAGAATCAATAAAAGCTGTTCAAATATTGTATGAGGTCTTTATTGTGATCAACCGTAGCAATTTAGCAAGTCATAGTAAGGTTGATGCGCCTCAATTAATGGATCAAAGTATGTCAAAAATGAGTCGGGAATTAAATTTTAATTAACGGAAGTAATTTTAATCGATCAATCGAGCTTGTCATTAAGATGAGTAAGGTTGTTTATTATGTGAAAAAAAAATTTAAATAGTAAAAAATGAGAAGTGAGTTTGCCATTTTAGTCGAAAACTTTTTGTCCCTAACCACCTTTTTTTTTGCCCTGATTTATCAAAACTTTATAAATATTAAAATGAATAAAGTATTACTTAAGTGTTTTTATACTTTTATTATGGATTTTCATTATCGACTTATATTTTTTGTAAATTTTCGATAAACTATTTAGAATCCTCTCAACTTGTGATTGAGATCTTCATTTTGACCTATAGTTGCAATTGAGCATCGCTCAATTATTAAAAAATCATAGTAATAGCAATGTTTTGAGCATATCTCAGTAATATTGTCATTCGTATTATTGACTTTTATCCAAAATGTTATGGCAATAGTTAAAATTACGCCATAATACTTGTGCACTATTTAGATCACTATGAACTCGCATCTCGTGAGAACACCCAAAATCTCAATAATATCACTATTCATACTTCTATTGATTTATCTATTATGTTAAGAATAGCTAAAATTGCATCATAATTAGAGGGGAGCAGAGTGGGAGACCTTTGTATTGTTATGGTCTACAATGTTCGGGCTCCCACCCCTGTAATTAGATAACTTAATTAACGTTAATCAGAAATTCGATCATTAAAAAAAAGAGTGATAATAAACCGATGATTAACATAATAAATAAAAGACGATTAATTAAAAGGCTAATTATTTATTTATTGCATCAATTTAAAAAACATAAAAGAATTTATACACCTTAACAAAAGGCTGCAAAAAATGACGCTAGAAGAAGGAGACTGCCTTCTATAACACAGCTAAGCTATCAAAACAATGAGTCAATAAAAAGGCAAGACATCAAAATAATATTGTCGAAAAAGAAAATCCAAGTGAACGAACGTAGTATTTATTTATATTCTTCAAGACAGAGTTTCTGCATTTAAATTTAATTCCTGCACTATTAGTATATTAGACGGGAGTATATGGTATAATCAAGAGAATTAATACTAAAAAGTTTTCAAATGAAACTGATATGGACCCTCATATGTAAATATTAATAAATTGAAGTTAATGTATACGTGCATTAATATAAACTCAGTATTGTGCTATTTAAAATTAACACACATTCTATTAACGAAATAACGCACAGGGGCGTTATGTTGAATTTTGGCCCGAATTAAGCTTAATTTAGGCTGAAAATTGAAATTACACTCTACGCGTTATTTCGCGGTTATACGGTATTCATATATATTTGCTATACATATTTTATTATTAAGCACCCAAGAAGTAATGCTCCAGACCTATAAAATATCACTGTTTTGCTAGTTGTTATGTACTATTAAAATCACTAGAAAATTGCATCCAGAAAAAATGTTGAAAGCCCTCTAAAGTCACATTTCTGTAAATAGTAGATGATTTTTTAAATTTTTATTAAATTTTTAATAATCATTTTTAAATTTATTCTAATAATATTATTATATAAACATAGTGTTTTTATCTATCTTATTCTTTTAGATGAAGGTGAACAGCACTCATACATGGTATGCCTTTGTTATTGATATGTAAATAAACAGGAATTGGGGGCATAATATTTCCATGTGGTGGCATAACCACATCAAGTATAAATCCTTTATCATTAGGTTTAATATTTTTAATTATACAACTTACATATCGTTGAGACATATGTGTAGAATGTGTGACAAACCCATAATGCAATAATGCAGCTGTAAATTCTGGTTCTTTGTCAGAAATTGTAACTTCAACTTCTATAGATTGATCATAATTTACTTCTATGGGACCTTTGTTTATTTTTTTAGAGCCATTCACAGATTCTATAGTGACTCGTGATTGGTTTGATGAAAGATATGGTGGACTGAAAAGCTCAACTCTAAGTCTATATATTGCAAATAATAAGAATTTTAAAATATTTTTAAAAAATAAACATTTAACATATAAAATAGTAAACTTACTCAGTGGGAAATTTGACACCTGTTAAAATAACATTCTGTTGTGGACTACTACCAGCGATGAAAACCTTACCGTTTGGTATTAAAGTAGCTACCGAATGATAAACTCTGGGTATCTGTTTCAACAAAAATAATATTAAAATTGAGAAAAAAAAGAGTTCTAAATATTTTATTAAAAAAAAGCATACTGTTGAAGGATTGAGTTTTTGAAATCTTTTTCCATTAGGCTGTTGGTCATTATATAATACTGGAGTAAGAACTGGGTCATCAGCTTTTAATGTATGATGTTTCATAGAATCTAAAAAACAAAAAGCATCATAAAATATTGATATTAATGATTCAAGTGTTCAATAAGTAAATAAAAAGAGAAATAACTTACTATAACCGGCTATTCCTTTACTGACACCATTTAAGAATAAAACTTTTCCATCAGCCAAAATCACAGAATTGGGCATGGCTCTTGGTAATCCACCAAAGTCAAAAATTTCCCATTTAGCCTTATCCAAATCAGATAAATCAATTCTACCACAAGTATTTGCAGCTGTACTTTTTGGATCATTTTTTTCATTACCACCACAAATCAATACTATAGGTTTATAATCATCCTCAGGACGTAATGGTAACATTACTGAGGAACCAGTTGTAGGATAAGTACGTGAAGCACCTTTAAGACGAGGAAGTTTTTTTATAACCTTTTCAGCTTTCCAATCAAAAATTATACTATCTTTATTGGCAAAAACGAACAAATAGGTTTGATTCTTAGGACCAGGCATTAAATGTATTATTGGAAAGAGGTTGAATGGCAATGTATCAACTAAAAATTGGAAATGTTTAGGACTTCGATCATCACTTGGGTAAATTTCGTACGTTGGATTATTAATTGTCAAATTATTGATGGCTACAGAAAACTGAGATCCACCAAGGATGAATAGTCTTCCATCTGAAAGTCTTGAAGTATATAAAAAAAAAGTAAGTATATTTCCAATATATAGGGGAGTGATATTTGTAACCCAAATTTGATATCCACACTCCCATACAAATTAAAGTTTTTTTGAACTTTAAACGAAGTTATCTCGATGCCGCCAAGCCAAATTCGATAAAAATTTTTTTATTTGAATTCTATAAGCACGCAGAACTCAAATAAAAAAAGGTTCATCAAATTTGGCCTGGTGATTATCAAGATATCTTCGCTCAAAGTCTTAAAAAACTCAAAACGTCTATCAAAACAAGCTACGCCAAAATTCTTTTATTTTTTGAACGAAGATATCTTGACAACCACCAAGCCAAGGTGAATTCTCGGATCTGTATGATTCAAATAAAAAAAATTTCATCGAATTTGACTCGTTATTGTTAAGATACCTTCGTTCAAACATTGGAAAAATTTTTGACACGGCTTCTATTATAGGCGTTTGAGATTTTTAAACCATTGAACGAAGATATCTTGACAACCACCATGCCATTCGATGAACTTTTTTTTATTTGAAACGGATTCGTAGAATTCAAATAAAAAAAAGTTTTGAGTTTGACTAGGTGGTTGCCAAGATATCTTCGCTCAAATAATAAAAAAAATTTTGACACAGTTATGTTTTGATAGACGTTTTGAGTTTTTTAAGACTTCGAGAGAAGATATCTTGACAACCACCAGGCCAAATTCGATGGACTTTTTTTTATTTGAATTATACGTGTTCATAGAATTCAAGTAAAAAAATTTCTATCGAATTTGGCTTGGTGGTTATCGAGATAACTTCAAAGAAAACATTAATTTGTATGGGGTATGGATATACAAATATATATCATGCTAGATGTGTTGTTTACAAAATGCCAAAATTAAAAAATTATTATGCATACGTTATGGAAGAAGGATACCATCGATGAGTCGTCATACCATTTAAATCTTCACGCCAGTGACATTTATCGTCTTGACAAGGATTAATAAATCGAAGGCTTGAAAACCCAGCCACATATTTATCTCTCTATATAACAATAAGACATAAGAAACAAAATTGTAATAGAAAAAAATACATATATATTAATGTAATTACCGGAATTTCTTCTGCACCACCGGTACTGACCAAAGTACCATTAGCAATGAATCCTCCCGAGGAACAAAAGGTGTTTGATGTTAAGGGTAAGATACGCCTTGAACCGGTATCTAAATCATATTCAAGTGTACTGACCGGGCGACCATCAGAAAAGCGCATTGTATTATTTTGAACTGTTGAAAAATATTAAATAAGTAAAAGAAAAACAATGTACGCATTACGTATCTGTTTATTTATAAATTACCTTTGTCTATAATAATAATTTTGTTTGGAGCAGTAACTGCGATGTGCATAGCAGCTACTCCACTATCTCTGTAATTAGAGATTTAAAAATTAACAGAAAGAATGATTTATTTTGAAAAATCAACAATGAATATCGAAAATATTGTAAATGCTATAACAAGCTTACGTAACAAGAATTTCATAATCCGGTGTTATTGGGGCTATTACAGCTATTTAAAAATTCAAAATAAGAAATTAATAAAAAATAGCTTATAAAAAATCAAAGGATTCTTAAAACACTTACAGATATTTACGATTGAAACATTTGGAAATAAAACATTTCGGTGATCTATAGTATAGGTGAGCATATAGAATTATTATAAAATTATGACATAAAAATTAGCTATTTTGAACTGACTTTTACTAAAACGCACCTATGGTGTTTTACACCTATGTACATATTATCTCATAAACTGGTTAATTAATCAATGTAAGATAAGATGTCTTAAGTAAAAATGTTCTCGCCTCTAAAAACCCCTTCGCTAACCCTAACTCTAACCCTTACCTAAATTCTAACATTAAAATCAAAATTTTGTGTTGAAAACTTTTATATTAAAACTTAGAAAATCTAAAAAACATAATAAAACATATGTTAGGTGCAAAACTACCATAGGTGCGTCTTATAGAACTAATTTAAGCAAATTTCTAAACAGTTAGAATTAGGGTATAGGATTAGAGTTTAAATTAACTCAAAATAGGTAGTTTTATATTATAATTTTTATAATAATTAAATATGCCCACCTAAACTATAGAGAATCCATACAGTCAATAAAATCAATATCGAAGTTGTGGGAATTAAGAAATTTGATACGTTCATATTTTTAAAAATTTTTAAATGTACTTCTTAAAGAAAAAAGTTGATTTTTTATCATAAAAAGTAAGGAAATGAGAATTAGGTGATAAAGTAAAGAAAACGGCAGAAAAATTAAATTCTCCGTTTGTTTCTTTGGAGGAAGAGAACACTTACAGTAACACAATGTTAATTTTGCTTAAAAACTTGAATAATAGAACAAATCCATTCGTGTAGGATATCCGATTATTTATACCAAATATTTCACGACAATAATAAGGTGATAATAATGAGGTGACCTATTTTTTTCTGATAACAAAGATGAAACGCTTTTTTTAAAAAAAAATCGGAAGATAAATTATGTTATTAATTTCATACGTATGAATTATATAGGTATCGGCAGAATTTTAATAAAAGAAAGCATGTGTCCGAAAGCCGCGTATGAGCGGATTTTCGGAATTACTACTAAAAATGGTAAATAATTAAAATTGAATAACTTTTTACTCACTGGAAACGAGCCCAAAATCGCTAAAATCCAATCACAAGATGCCAAGACTTTTAGCTTCGGATAAAATAGGATGGGTTAAACCCATCCTATTTTTACCGAAGCTAATTATCTCGGATCCTGAGGTTGGATTTTGGCGATTTGGGGCTCGTTAGAATCGTCTCATCGAGACAGTCATTTTTATGGTAAAATCATCTAAAATGGGTCAGTGAGTAAAAAGTTATTCACTGTTAAATATTTACCATTTTTAGTAATAATCCGTGATATGCAATATATTATGCAAATATATTTTTTTAGTGATGACTTATATAATATGATCTACATAAAAAATGTGTTTCACTTTTTTAGATGTACAAGTCGCATTTTTCTTTTTAGTCAAAGTTTTTAATATTAATAATATATTGTTACTATTTTTAAAAAGTTACTAAAATTTGTTTTTGCATTATATGGGAAATCCATTTCTTTAAAGATCTTTTTTACAATCATTCCTTCATAAAGTAGCTGCGCAACACAGTTGCACAAAACCAGGAATGGATTTCTAAAAGATCAATTATAACAGTGTTCCAAGCCGATTAAGTTAGCCGTTTAGCCAGCCGCTTAGCTAAATGATAGACTAATCAGCCGGCTAATAACGGCTAATGATATTAATTACAAACATCAAAGTTGTATAACTGAATTTATAGTATCAAAAAAAAGCCAACATATATTACGAAACTTAAATATCCGTTATATGTCGAATTAAATTTTTTTTTGCATTAGAAATAATTATAATGCCATCAAAACCCACCCTTACCTTAACATAGGGTTTTCTCTAACTCTAATTAACTAAGTATTGATATTTTTATCTGACATAAATTTCAATTTGACGTATAACATATATATGGTTTGGTAATACATCACTATTCGATTGAATACTTATCAGTCACAGGACATTTCCTTTTACAGGGGTTCCAAATGTTGTTATTTATAAATCATATAAGTTGATTTATCAAATTTTATATGTAAATTTATGCAAAAAAATCATTTAAATTAAATTTATTCCAAAATATACATATAAACCTTTCTTTAAACTTTAAATATATATTCTTTAGCATTTGATAATCTTTAATTTAAAATTTTAATTTTTAATCTTAAATAGAAAAGCTATAATCTTCTACTAAAGTTGATTAATTCTTTACTATGTTCTTTAAGTCAAATATTATATGTAAATTTATGCAAAAAAATCATTTAAATTAACTTTATTCTAAAATATACATGATAATCTTTAATTTAAAATTTTAATTCTTAATCTTAAGTAGAAGAGTGATAGTCTTTCACTAAAGTTGATTAATTCTTTACTATTATGTCCTTTTACAGGGGTCCCAAATCACCCCAAGCAATAATATGATTGGCTAAAGCAATCTTTTGAAAATTAAAGAAGGTTCTACTAAGTAAAGGTCTCTTCCAGTCCTAAGAAAACTTGTAGAGGAGGTTTTTAGGATCCTAACAGTAGTTAAATTATCAAAATTAGCTTGGTGGATCCCAAGATACTTGGGGTCAAAGAAGATAACATAAGGATCTACAAATTCACTGTTACACAAAATATAATACTTTGTGTACAGTGAATTTGTAGATCCTTATATTCTTTTCTTTGACCCCAAGTATCTTGGGATCCACAGACTAGAAGAGACCTTTACTTAATGGCATCTTTCATATTTTAGAAGATTATTTTAACCAATCATATTATTGCTTGGGTGAGTTAATTATTTGACTTAAAGAACATAGTAAAGAATTAATCAACTTTAGTGGAAGATTATAGCTCTTCTACTTAAGAATAAGAATTAAAATTTTAAAATAAAGATTATTAAATGCTAAAGAATATATATTTAAAGTTTAAAGAAAGGTTTATATGTATATTTTGGAATAAATTTAATTTAAATGATTTTTTTGCATAAATTTACATATAAAATTTGGTGAATTAACTTATTTAATTTATAAGTAACAACATTATAAGTGGACATGTCCTGTGACTGTTATCTGCTTCCAAGGATTTAATTAGTAATTTAAAATTATAAAAACACTCGGAATATTTAAGTAGACCCTGAATTTAAAAAGTTATTTATTTTTAATTGAATGTAGCTATTTAATATAAACATACTATTTACTAGATATAGACATCCTATGATTTAGTATAACATAAATTATAGGCTAAGTCGCTAACCCATTAATTAAATATATAATGACTCAGCTTAGTCGTAAAATTTAATCGACTTGGATCACTATCATAACAGCTTATTGGATGTTAGACAGTCATTAAATGACAGGTAAGATTAAACCATTTTATCTATTGTAGTGATGGCGATCTGTGTATTTCACATGATAGTAGAGTTCCAATCCATTAAGCATTTTTCCGGATAACTATCAGATATCTGGATCTGAATTTATTCAGATATCCATTTGCTATTGATATCTGGATAATTTTCCGGACAACTGTCAGATTATCCGGATATCTGAGAGATTTGGATAATTAGATGCGGATAAACGGATGACGGATTTATCCGAATTGGGACTCTACATGATAGAGGTTAGAATTTGAAGGTCTTTTGGAGTAAATGATCGATTGACCAAATCAGACACGAAATTTCAATAAATCAATAAATGGGCTGCCATCAATAGAAATCAAACAGATTGATATTTTAAAAATAATTAATCCTTCAACTTTTATAATTTATATCTCGATGGATTTTGAGGTTGTCTTGATGAATTAATATTCAAAAGAAAGCTTAATAATTAGACTTTCTTTTGAATATTAATTCACCAAGATAGTTTCAAAACTCAACGAAATATAAGTTATGAAAGTTAAAAGGTTAATTTTCTTTAAAATATCAATCTGCTTGATTTCGGTTGACGGCAGCCTAAATAGTTTATAAATCATGATCTACAATAGATAAGTTAATCAATAAATCAAACCAATAAGTTAAAAAAAGTATGAGAATTCAATATTCAATAATTTCAATATAAAACTTTATTAAGGTGAAAAATCAAGGTTTAAATATGTGTAAGGTCTTTCCCGCAGTATCTAAATTTAAGCAGAACAGACAAGATCTGAATTTTTTGCTATAATCACTCATCATTGAAAAGAAACTTTATGAACTCCCTTTTTTTCACCCTTGGGATATCCTAAGTCATTAATCATTATAAACATAAACGCGATTGCTCATTGAAAAGCTTCCATCACATTCCATCACTCCAGCTTCCTCTAACACCACTTCAATGATCAATGAAGTTAACAAAATCTTGACCGACCAACATTCCCATCAATTTTTTCGAATTACTCCACAGCTACCAGACCAAATTTGGAAGTAATCGCGAGTGGACTATCAAAGATAGAATAGCATTATCTGTCAATCACATGCTTAAAGGTTTTCCCAGGACATATGAATTCCAAATAAATTGTTCTAACAATGTCATGGAATGCTAACCAAATATAGAATAATATCCCATAGAACTCTTTGTTAGGGTGCAGATTTTAATAAAACATAAATATAAATAAGGGGCATCATAATTTACGCTAAACTAGTATTGTTATAGGCAAGGTTGTGAGTAGACATAGTCTAATCAAAAATGTTATTGTCTAATTGTTTAATGCCTATTCAATTTGGTTGAGAACAAACAATGTCTATTTAAATAAAAATTTAATTGAACAATATGTCTATTCATAATTTGTCTATTGGTCT